TCAGAGCTCTAAGACGATGGTGGTTTTGTCTTTGAGGCAGTACAAAAATGTCAAGAATACGTACATAATTGAACCTGTCCATTATATATGTGTATGTGTCACTGAATCACTTTGCTGTATGCCTGAAACTAATGTTGTAAATCAGCTATATTTTGGTGTAAAGCAGAGAATTTATCAGCACTGCATGAGTTACTCCGCTCTTCAAAGCAAACGGAGAGTAGAGTTCTCCGTGATTGCTGGAGTCTAGCACTCTTGGAATTGTGTCAAGAAAAATATAAACAGGCAGAGTATCCATTCACTAAAAGCCCGCATATTCACTTGGCTCTAATGAGGTTCTCAGATTTTAAAACTTGTATAACTAGTCAAAATCATAGTATTCTGGTTCCAGTTAAAAATAAAATGTCTGACCATCCCTTCTACAATGATAATGCTATTTTTCTGAATGTGAGGAAAATATTTTAATAGCAAGAATGAAAAGATTAGCAATTATTTCCCCAAAATATAGCCCCAAAAGAGAAAAAACTGTCTTATGTACGGTGTAAATCATTTCTCAAGAGGTTCATCACAGTACATTGAAATTTGCTTTTTGGAGAACTTTCTCATTTTTCTTCTTGTGTCCTTTGTGCTGAGAAGAGGAGTTATTACCTGTTTTATTTCTCCACTTAGATGGAGTGACTTTTCCTGGTATCATTAGATATTTGTATCACTCGTGAATCTAGCTGGATCTGTCAATTCTTTAGCAGCCAAAAATGAATCATCCAGAGTAATTAAAATCCTGGTCTTATGATCAGACCAGACTTGGATTAAATCTTGAGTTGTTCACATATTAACTGCATGGCTGTGTCATGTTACTGATTCTGAATCTCTCACAGGGTGTTGAGAAGACGAACTGAGATAATCAATTTAACATATTGAATGTGGTGCCTGTAATACATGGAATTGGAGTCTTTGGAATAATGATGGTGTCACTGTCTACAATGAGTGCTCAACCTTTGAGGCAGGTTTCAAAGCAGTAGTGTAATGGTGTGAGCAGTGCAGAGGCCTGCCATGATCAGGACTGATTGTGTCCCATGGTTCACGGAGAGTGCATGAGGTTCAGAATTGGGCTGCCAAGGTTTGAGTTCCAGTTTGACCAAACCCTGAGCCATGGTTAGGTGTGGAGGGTATGGGTAAAGGTTATAGGATGGGAAGTGTGAACAAGGTCAAAGGCAAACTATGTTTAGTCTTGTTTTACATGGATTTGGTTTCCCTGTCTGTTAAATGCTGACTGGGGAGTGACGGCAAGTTAAGGAACAGGGTAAAAAAAAAAAGAAAAAGGAAAACAAAATCAGGATTAAAGAAAGAGGTGGTGAATATAATGGAAGAATCAGGGTGGGGCAACAGTTCTGAGACCAAGGAAGCAAACTAGAAGGAGGAAAATTCAGAGACTTCTGGAAGACCAAGACTAGGGACAGAGAGTCCAAGTAGAGAGCACATGGAAGATCTGAAACAGAGAGATAGAAAATATTTTTCTATTAGAGAAATTTTTTCTAATTAGACTAATTATAATTAGAAAATATTTTTCTATTTTCTGATAGAAAATAGAAAATCTGAAGTAGAGAAAATAGGGAAAGAATCATTGTCGAATGGTCAGACAACCATCAGATTCAGGAAATTCATAGCAACATAAAGCATAAGGCCTGGTAGAGAAACAAATATGAAGCATAAGTAATTGATTATGATATTAAAGCTATTAATATTTGATGTCCAACCAACCAGAGGAGTGTCTCTTCTGGACTCACCCTGGAGGATGATGAAACCAAGAGAGATGATCTGAGTGGAAGTTTCCAGGCCAGGATAACCCAACACATCAACCTGCTAGCAATGCAGGGGCCAGGGGGCCTTGTTTCCCTGGCAGGGAGAGTCTTCTGGCATATCAAGTGCTTCTAGTCAGATTTCTCACCTCTGCTTTCGTCTTTCTGCTGCTGTTGTCAAGCTTTGCTCCTAAAATTCCATGCTGGCTTTAGAACCTGGTAAACCCTAAGTACTGGCGTTGTACTGATTTCCTGCTTTCCAAAGGAGGAGGAAATTAGGAGAAGGAACAGCAATAGAAGTAGTAGGAAGGAGAAATGTAACAGGAAGTCGTGTGGAAAAGAGAGGCCTGAAATCTGGACAGTTTTGCATCATGACCGAGATATCAGGCTTCCCCATTACAGGTGTCGTAGAAATCAGTAGTTGCCTGGACTTTGTTCTCGTGCTGGTTCATTGGAGGATATGACTCTCATGTGTACACTCAACTGTGCAATTTCACATATAATTGGGTGTTATTAGGTGGGTGAAAAAGTAATTGCAGTCTTGGACTGTGAATTTTCAATCATTGTAACTAGGCCCAAACACATCTTTACTAATCAAAGTAGGAACCATTACAATCAGCACATTTTTGTCAGTGAGAAATATGTTTGTTCATTCCAGTAGCATAAAAATCCATGCTTCAGGATTCGACGAACTCTTGGAAAGCATCTTCTGCCTCCTGCTGGTTGTGGAAGCATTTTCCCTGCAAAAAGTTATTGAGATGCTTGAAGAAGTGGTAGTCACTTGGCAAGCGGTCAGGTGACTATAGCGTTGCCAAATTTGTTCAACTTTTGGAGCGCTGGTTGTGTGATGTGTGGTTGATTATTGTCATGGAGAAAAACTGGACCCATTCTGTTGACCAATGCTGGCTGCAGGCACTGCAGTTTTCAGTGCATCTCATCAATTTACTGAGCATACTTCTCAGATGTAATGGTTTTCCTGGGATGCAAAAGGCTGTAGTGGATCACCAGTGACCGTTACCTTTTATTGGTGCAAGTTTGCCTTTGGGAAGTGTTTTGGAGCTTTTTCTCAGTCCAGCCACTGAGCTGGTCATTGTTGGTTGTTGTAGAAAATCTACTTTTTGTCACACATCACAATCCGATCGAGAAATGGTTTGTTATTGTTGCATAGAATAAGAGAAGATAACACTTAATGATGATGATCTTTTTGATTTGCAGTCAGCTCACGAGGCACCCACTTATCACGCCTTTACACGTTTCTAATTTGCTTCACATGCCAAATGACCATAGAATGGTCAACACTGAGTTCTTCAGCAGCTTCTCATGTAGTTGTAAGATGATCAGCTTCAATGACGGCTCTGAGTTAGTCTCTGTCAACTTCCGATGGCCGGCCACTGCACACCTAATCTTCAAGGCTCTCATCTCCTTTGCAAAACTTCCTGAGCCACCACTGCACTGTATGTTCGTTAGCAATTCCTGGGCAAAATGTATTGTTGATGCTGTGCGTTGTCTTCGCAGCTTTACAACCCATCTTCAACTTGAGTAATAAAATTGCTCAAATTTGCTTTTGGTCTAAAATCATTTCCCTAGTCTAAAATAAATATAAAATACACAGCAAGTAGTAAGTCATCAGCAAAAAACATAAAGCAAGAAATGCACATTAAAATGATGTGTAACATAACCACATTTATTTGAGAATGCATTCCCATATCAAACAGCAAAGTTCAGTAATGCAAAATCGCAGTTACTTTTGCACCAACCTAATACTTGCTTACTTTTCCCCTCTGGAAAGAAGTCAGTTTCTTAAATGGGAGTTATTTCCCAGCCCAGCCTGCAGAAGATGGAGACTTTCCTCTATCTTTATTTCCCCAGTTGGCATAGAAATAAAGTCAGCTGGGAAAATATGAACTGAAAAAAATTGTTGCAGAGTGGTACTTATTCAAGCCTCAAAACATAACCAATGGCTTATACGGCAGCGAGATAGAGATTCAACTCTATCTCTCTTAAGGCTTAGCTAGTGAGCATCAGCACGGACTGAGGGGAGCTAATTTTCTATTTTCTGAGAAGAAATGGACCTGATAAGAATATGATTATAGCGAAGTGCTCACACAGAAAAAAATGTCACAACTTTTTACTGAATTCTTGTTTGGGATGTTTCTGTAAACTTATCCATCATTTTGTGACATTTTACAGTGTAACAAGACTTTTGTGTTTGTGAAACATCATTTTGAAATTGCCCCAAACTAGATTTCTCCCTTTCCCTCTCTTGTCAAACTGACGTTGGGTACAAATTCATGAATTTGAACGACTGGCCTATTCACTCAGACTTTTGATTGCAAGTTATAGAAGTCAGCCTGAGTTTAAAAAGGGAATTTTGTATTAAAGAAAAGGAAAGTCTCAGGGAGTCTCAGGCCGGAAATCCTGCTTGGTTCCAGGAATGTTTTGGAATTCAATTCTGGAAGGCCCTCAAGCGTGTCTCCTCTACCGTCTGCCTCTCCCTTATACTTTGCTGTATTTTTCTTGATCTCATCAGATCTGCTTTTATGGCAGAGTAAGGCGTTCCCAAAGCTCCCAAATTTACACAGTGTCATTTCAATCTCCTAGCATGCCTACAGAGCAGATTAAAGCCCTGCACCATATTCTTGGGAGAAAAACATCTGTTTGCTACCCGGCCCCTACCCTCTTGGGTCAGAACGCCACCGCTGGTTTCATTATAGGGAGTCTGAACATGGATTCTGTGATTTTAGGGCCCCGGGGGGGGGGGGGGGCAGTTTCCAGAGGAAGAAAGTTGTTATGAGCTTGGTGAATTGTACCAAATTCATCTCTCCTGTCATGCCCCAAATGAGGATGCTGCCTGGCACTGAGGATGCCGTTACTAAGTATTTATCAAATGAAGCCGTTACTAAGTATTTATCAAATGAAGTACTTATTGGCTGAAAGTGCTGGTAAAGATATTTGACTAGACAGATGAAGATGTTTTGGCATTTTGAACATCATATAGTAGATCTTTTTTATAACAGGTCACTTAAAACTAAAGCTCCTTTAGTTAAAATCTTTTGATTTCTTGCTATTTATTATGTATTTATAAATTCATTTAAAATTACAAAATATAAATTACTGTGAGAACGTTTGAATGAATTAATACACTTAGGCATTCATTTTAATAGTATTCTTTTCTTTATTTCTAAAAAATAATTGACATTCATGAAGACAAAGCCTGGAGTAATTCGCCCCGTACCGGTAAAATCCAAAATATTACTGAAAAAAGAGGAGGAAGCCTATGAACCCAACCCTTTCAGTAAATACCTGGAGGATAACAGTGACTTCTTTTCTGAGCAGGTGAGTGTACACATGGAAAAGTCTTTGATATTTGGATAAATAACTGTACAAAATACAGAGATGCCCTAATGAGTAGAGCGTGTGCAAGAAAATGTGATTGGAATAACCTTAGTAATTTAAAAAGAGCTCCATTTTCTGCATAATAAAAATTCTTAAGTATTTCCAGGATGATATTTGGAAGTATTTAAAGGCTTTTGTCTAAAATTTTTCTACCTAATGCTGGTATTATTTTGGGGATTAAGACATTACTTTCTATGAGGACATCACAGAGCCTTCATGTTATATAGATGTTGCATTCTTGTTACTAAAATACCACTTCCTTTTGAAGTGACATAATTTTTTAGGTTTGGTATATTAGTACATTTGACAAAAGATCTATTGTTTGGATTCCTATTAACTTAGTAGAGATGGTATGATTCCTTAGATTGAGTGGTACTAGGTAGGGAATAGGAGGTTAAGTTATTTTAAGGTATTTTTTTGTTTGTTTGTTTATGTGTTAAAAAGGTATATTCCCCTTATGTAGTCTATTGTTGGAGAATGTATAATGGAAGGTTGTTGATGATGCTTTGTAAGATATTGGGGGAATATATGAAGATACACATTTAGGCAGTATAAAATTTCATAAATTATCTCAAAGAGAAACCTTGCATCTTTATTTGTCTTCTTCCAATGCAACAACTAGGCATAGGTTATATATTTTATATCTCAAACTTTATTACATGCTTCAGCAATACAAACAATCCAGAAACCTTTGTGGATATAACTGGGAAACACAAGATAACCACCACATTTGGTAATCTATAATAGAATAGACTTACAAAGGAACATAAAGTGCTGTACTCTTTAAACTGAAAGAGCTAGTTGAAAATGATAACTAACCAATTCTTGGAAACAGAAATCCTGTTCATATTTGAGAAACATAAGAAATATCTCGTCTTACTCTGTGACACTGAGCAAGGTATTTCATCTGGCCCCATTCCAGTGTTTAATTCATACAATGAGGCATTCTGATGTAGTTTTTAAGGACCCTTCAAATTTTAAAATCTGGGTTACTTAAAATCGAAAAATGTGAGCAGGCTCAAAGTATTGAAAAAGTTCATTATAAATACTTTCTCATGCTTAGCTATAGTTTTTATTTATAAAATGGAGATGATAATATTTTCTGCTTATTTGTATATACTTTGTGAAGACTGATAAGATTTCAGTAAGTTAAACATTTTTAGAAGGCACTAATATCATTGAAAATGATAATTAAAGGCAAGTTTTTCCATTTTACAGAAAAAAAAAAGCCCTCAATTTAGAAAAATCCTATTGATATATAAGGTTGTGTTCACTAAATTTGCACATAAAAGAAATGGAAATTCCTTTTAGGAAAGCATATTTCCATCATCAGTAAAAGCAGTCATTAAATATCTAATGATACTAATCATTTAGAGGCTTAATGTGACATTGTAGACAATAAGGGATTATTATAAAAATTTATAAAAGTTATCTATTGTTATATGATAAAATGCTGGCACAAAATAAATTTCACATATTATCCATGCAATATATTCTTTAAATATGATCTAATGTTGTAAAGTAAAAGTTATATTCTTTTTTAATAGTATAATTTCAAATTTATGCATTTTACCTTGAACAAGATTCTCTGTAGAATGTCAAGTTTAATCTTCCTATACAGTATCACACTTTACTGTCCTCTGGAATGATAAATTCCATTTTCAGGTGTGGGAAATTATTTTCATTAAAAGAAGTTGCCAATTCTTTTCACAGCTTTCCCTGACTATATAGCAAGTTTAAAGCTCTATTTATACACACCATAAACCTTTGTATTTTCAGATAATTAGTGCACAATTTTAGTTCTTTTGTTAAGTATTTTGGTGCCACAGATATAGACTTATTTATATTTTCTTTCAATCAATTTATTCTTGTGTGTATCCTAACTTCTGTATCAGTGGACTGTCAAAATTCAAAGAAGTCTAACAGAGTACTTAAAAGTGAATTACATACTTTCCCTGGTTTTATTCATTGACTTTGCAGGAGAGGAAAAATTGCATATTTTTGCTATCAATTATGCTATCAATTGGCCTCTACATGGAGCTGTAACCACTATCTCATTGTGGCCAGAATCTACAATGGAGGAAGATACAAAAGACAGCTCACAAGTGTAGATGCTGAGAGCTCCTTAAACAATAAATTGAGTAGTAACAATTTATGATTTCAGTGTGGCTACATCATCAGAACTTAACAGGAGGGAGTGTACTCAAGTGTATTCAGTTCTGGTCACTATTATGTTCTCCTTCACTGATGCCACAGAATAAATTGAATGATTCCAAACTCAGTTGATCTCAACCATCCATGTAATGGAAAATACTTAAGCCTGACAGTTGAGCCAAATTGAAGCAGCTCACATTCACTAATCTGCCTTGTCCTAGGGACAGTTCCACATGACGGGAAATGTTGAATGGGATTGTTAAGTCAATAAATTTCCCCTGGCAGCTTCAGTGCCATAAAATATGATTTCAAAACTCTCTGTTACAAAATGTCAGACACCAAAGATGATGAGACCAGATGGAAATATATTTACTGTGGCTTCAGAAGGTACAATAGGGCAGTCTTTTGAACAGATAATGAACTGAAAATTTGCCTGGAGATACCCTCTGAGTACTAAAAGCAAAGTTTGAAACCAAATGCATAGTTGAGTCATTGAGACTTATTAATCAACAACTTTTGCATCAAAATGGCATAGGCCAGGAACTACCATTCTATATTAGATGGATTTTTAAACAAAGACACTTCAGAATGAAGCTTATGCTTCTCTGAAATTACCTTTCAATCCATTATTATATCAATTTGTTGTCCTTTTGAGTTCTTACAGAATATCCTTAACACTTCACATATGGATATAAAACTATGATGATGTACTTTGAAGCATAGTTTTGTTAATAACTAGAGGTTGGGTTGGAAAATAATTAACAGAATTGGTTGGACAAATGGACATCTAGAAGACATAAAGGTTTAGAAAATCAATTCGCTGATGAAAATAAAGATACTAAAGAGAGGAATGGTTTTTTGTTTATCTGTGTGAGTTTTCAAAATACATTGATTTTTTTCTGGTCATTTAATGTATTTAATTAGACAAAGTGAATTCTGCATTGGAGTCTCAACTTAGTAGAAAAAGCAATTGCTAACCTCAGTTATATGACATGGATAAAACATTTTCCTCTCATTCTTTATAAATTAGTAATTCAAGCCATACTGTTAGATATATCATTTCTTTCTTGAAGCCATAGAGAAATATAGGAAAAATATTTAGGATGGAATTGAAAGGTGGGGGTTGGGGGTGATATTGTAGTTTAATTTGATTTTCCTGCAAATGTTTTTCTTTTCTCTTAAATGAAAAAGAATGCTTTCTAGCATGTATACCTCTTAAATTTTATTTTCCTTCTAATTTGCTTCAATAGGAAAATTGCATGTTTTTGTGTGTAAATGACCATTTAATAAATTTCCTTTGTACCATAGAGAATGTAAAAGGATAATTTAGGGAATTTTCTTTGTTGTAGCATTAACATTATTTTCTTTACTTCTGAGTTTTCTTAGCCATCTGACTGCCTACCAAACTATCTGTCTGACATTCAACTTTGATGATTATGTGGATGACTTTCAGATTTCTATCTAATTATTCATCAAATTATATTTTTACTGTGATCGTCCCCCGCACTTCTTCATGTCACCCACGTTTTATATTTACTAAGCAGACACTCACCATGTCAAAAGGTGAACTAGATAATATTGCCTTTTTTTCTGAATGACTTATGTTTTTGCCACAAATTGCTACCTTTTTCAACTTTTCTCAGTCAAGGTGGCTCACTCTCTTTTATCATAAAATTATCTTTTATCTTGTTAATGTTTTATTAGGAAATATTTTTCAGATTAAAATGTTTAACCTTTTCAGATCTAGAAATGATTAAGTGATTTGGTGAATAGTTCTGCGGGGACAGAGCTTAAATTCCTTGTAGGGTTACGTTTGCTTTTGAAGAGTGAAGACTAGAGATTTGGCGTCTCCAAGTTTTACTGGGTTGTTTCTGTTTATTCATGTAATGAAATTCTTGTGAGCTTTTCTCATCTTATTTTTTTCCTCCCTCCTCTCTTCCTTTCTTCCTGCATGCCTTCCTTCTTTCCTCCTCTATATGTAATAGATAATAGACCATTTATCATATACAGGTTATGTACTATATGTAATAGATAATTTATCATCAACACAATAAAACTTTTTAATAGTAAAAAATTGTCCTATGGAGACAATACACACTTTTCCCCCCAGGATATGATCAGTTAGGATTCCCCTCTTCAAACTTAGGCTTTTATCTCTCCCTTTTATTTATTATTGTTATTATTATCATTGCTTTAAGCTTTCTCTTGACTGTGTGTATGTATCAAGGAAGACAGAAGCTAAGGGCTGCAGGATCTGCATGGCTAAGGGAGACTTCTTCTGTCCCTTTCTGTTGCTTTCTGTAGGATTAGGAACCTTAGATTTTTACTTGCTTTAAAACAAACACATAAAGAAGACCTATTTGTCAATTCTATCATAATAGATAGAATACTTCTAATAATTAGTTAAGCAACTGATTTCTAAAAATTAGTGAAGCTTCAAAGCATTAGTAGTTTAACAAATAGTGAATACATAGCATCTGACTGTACCCCAGTCTCCTGGGAAACAGTGACAATCTGAAAACTTTAAGTAAATATGTCCTGTTTTGTTAACTCCTCAGATGTGTTTATTTGTGAGAGATGACCATGACCATATTTAGAGCCTCTCATGTGAATTGTATTCCTCTTTTTCTGTTATTTCTTGTGGTTGAGTTTGACCTTTAGTTTCATTTTATCTACATCTGATAGGATTGAAGTCTATAGCATAAAAAGTTGTATTCATTAAATCTAAATTTTTATCAATTCTAATTGGAAGGCTAAGTTTCTTTTAAAAAAATTTAAAATTAAAG